CGAAACGTGCAACCAGAGCCCCGGGACATACTCGACGGCCGCCTGTAGTCTGTCAACACCTGGTCAAGCGGCGCCGGGTCTCCGAGGACCGCGCAGCGTCGCAGCACGCCGCTTATATCCAGGGATTCCCTGCTCTCCTACGTGAGAGGCACCGTCTTCACACCCGCGCGACCAGGCGAGCCGCTCCACCTCTGCCAGGGCGCCCCCTGTTCAGGCCTCTTCTCAGCTGCCCTACTCTTCTCCGCATCCCCGGGCCGGTTCTTGGGCATGTGCCTGCGCCACACGCTTTCCCCGCGGGGGGGAATATTGTAGTGCGAGCACACTACAATAGGACAGTACTTTTATATGAGCTAGGGTCATAGTATCCTTCCCTTGTTGCTAATTCGAATTTCCTAACTACACTCTCGTTTACGTTGTGTGTTATCTTCTCACTAGTACTCCCATGTATCTTTCACTCACAGCTGCGTTTTACATGGGTGCTACCTGGGTGGCGGTCGCAGCTGAGTGGCTACGGTGGCCCAAGTCGGCATTGATGGTCTAGAAAGAATGTGACGGGTGACGGCCTCCAACAAAGACCCGAACTATGCTCGCCTGTTTTAATTCGAACACCCTTGACACTAATCATAAGCATTTTGTTCCGTTTCGTTTCGTAATTAATTATCTGCCTTACGTTAAGAGATATAGCCTCGCTGTGCAAGGACGCGACTCTGGGGCCACCCGTCTAGGGTCGTACTAGGTCCCTATAACCACTCCGTCTATTTAGTACATACTGGAGAGCCATCAAGCTGCCAAATGGCTTGTTCGAACTATTTATAAAGGGACAGTTTCGGTATCTTTCTAGGAGAAGAAGATTTTTCTCTCCTTTTTCTTGCCCTGTTGAACCCCAGGGCATCACAGCGTCGCTGTAGCGTGGTTTGCCTGCAACTAGCACAGGAACATATACTTGGCCTTTGTAGGTTGCTTCCAACCAAATGAAAACACTCTATAAGTGTATACAGAAGTAACTGATGCGGTAAGAGAAGCTTCGTTGAAACTTCCTTGTGCTCACACTTCGGGCTGGCTTGCATCGCCAGCTGCGCCGAGGTGCACTGCAACTCCAGTTAGGCTACCTCCTCCCCCGCAGTCCCAGGCCCTGCGCTGAACACCCAAGAAGCGCAGCAACAGGAGGAGGTCACCTGCCTTTGGAGAAACTCTTTGCTCAAGTCTTTCGCTTTATTTCAGCTCGTTTCTGTCCTTGAATAAGGCCCGGAAGCAAGCGTTACAGACGCCAGATGCAATAGAGTCAGGGTACCAACGATAAGATTTTCCTAAAAGCTTCTGACCTCCTCTTTAGTCTCCAGGCATCCTCAGCACGGTGGTTCGAGGGCTTGGAGATGGTACGAGATGAGCCAGGCCAACATGAGCCGTACCGCACTTCGCTGTAACCAGTACTGCACCGGCAACCTACATGCGAGCGCAGCCACTCATCCTTTTCCACATGCACTAGCACTACAATCAATAGTTGAATGTTTGGCCATCATTGCGGCACACGCAGCAACTTCAGACAGAGCATGCTGCACCTGCCCCCTCCCTCTCCCTTGAACAGCACACACCCTCGTGTTGATTTCCCACTGGCGGGCAGATGCCAGCATCCCGCTAGCGTTGTCATTCGATATCCATATGTAGTGTCGGGTTAGCTCCTCACTTGCAAAACAGGAATGTCGAAGACAAAGGGGCCGACGTGTGCACAGCTGTACAATACGGTCTTCCGCACCGGGAGGAAATCAAGCCAACTTGGTAAACGCGTCTAGGTAAGGAGTCGCAAATACCGCACCAGTATGCTGGGATATTCTATTTGATAATCTGTTCCCGGGTGGCTCATGGTGGTCATGTTATGGATATTCCGCAGCCATCCCCGTACACCCGCAGCTCTAGACGTCCCTACATAGCTTGCAGACGCGCAGGAAACCATGGGAAAACAGCGAGCGCCGGGTAGCAAAAGGCATCAGTAGTCGGTTTCAATGCAGGCAATTCGGTTCAAGTGCGTTATCACGCTGTTCGAAGTGAGCAGCGCTTCGAGCAGTCGAAGAAGTTCGCCATGCGTTGGGAAGGGCTTTTCGCTCTTCGTGTTCGGACTAACGCGCTGGCTTGCATCATCAACTTACCCCTGACACGCAGATGTCACCATACCATTGCCGCTGGCTTTCTTATAAATAGCTCAGGGAAACACCGAAGTTCTCCCGAACTATTTCCACGCGAGTGCAGAAACGTCACCGGTAGAGGGAACAACCGGAAGAGAGTGAGATCCTGAACAGACGCGTAACGACTCGTAGTTCCTACAGGAAACAATGATATTAGGTTAAATGGCCGGACAACCGATAAGCTGAGTGGGTTGCTGATGATCGCTTGTGCGAATGAGTTTCTAAGAATCGCCTGTGGGGTGGACTTCCGCTGGGCGTTCGTGTGAAGCAATCTCTCTGCAACATCCGCACCCCCTTATTGACACAACGGCGGTACCGCACGCGTNCGTTCGTGTGAAGCAATCTCTCTGCAACATCCGCACCCCCTTATTGACACAACGGCGGTACCGCACGCGTGGGCTTCCAAGGCGGAGCTTAAAGCTGGGCTGTGAAAAACGGTTTGCAGACGGATGCGCGATTGTGTTCGTATACGAGCGCATACGTTTCTACCTAGTTGTTCTCCAGTACCAACTAGAGTGCATCTAACTCGGCGATTTTGCCAACAGCTTTATTTGTTTTCCTTTTCGGGGTTTGGGCTTGCCGTATAGAATCGCGCCCGTCCACGACGACGGCTGTTGGCGAATCGAAGAGAGCCTAACCCCAACACGAATAGGAGCAGCAGGAACAGCAGCAGTGGTCGCAGCATTAGCGCCAGCGGAGGCAGCAGCAGCAGGGGAGCAGAAACATCAGAAATCACATTAGCAGGTGTCCTACTTCATATTGGTGCGAATGCTGCTACGGGAGATTAAGGTCCCTCTGTCAACTCTCCCTGTCAACCCCCCAAGCAGCACATGCACATGCGCAGGGTCTCCATTACTTGGAGACCCTGCGCATGTGCATGTGCTGCTTTGGGCAGAACGGGGAGAATATGTAGGATGATGGCAGATGTACGTCTACTTGCGTGAAAGCTGCCGCCTACGGGTAGCGTAAGCGTTCAATAACTTTCTACAGTGTTAGTCAAAGCGGAAAAGTGCACTTGGATGTGTTTACATGTCACACTGGCTTGCAGCGCTAATTGCAGCGCGGTGCGTTGCAGGTCATGTCAAGGGGCTTCCTGCCCCCCGCCCCAGCACCTGGGGCAGCCGGACCTCGGCTCCCTGACAAGTCGATGGGAGGTAACCCACTTTTTGGAATCCTTATTTTAAGCGTTTTGGCTCTGTGTTTGCTCATGAACGTCCGCGAGAAAGACCGAGGAATCTCCCCAGACAATCAAGCGCATCTCTTAGCGTGCCCATGTGCTGGTTCACTTTATATGCTTTACAGGCAATAGCACGTTGAAAGTTTTACCAGAATAAAGATAGATCATATTCGGCTGTCCCTATCTTCTTCTCTGTCAGGACAACACTGCCGACGCGAGTCGCGAGTGACTGTAATGCCTTGGGGTTGTGCAGGGCAGGCTCAGAAACCTTCCTGAGTTCTGAGAACCGAAGATGCACCNCTGTAATGCCTTGGGGTTGTGCAGGGCAGGCTCAGAAACCTTCCTGAGTTCTGAGAACCGAAGATGCACCCTATAGTATTGATGTAACAATAGGAATTTAGCCCCGCGATAAGATTAGGAGCAGCTACCGCCATAGAATCAAGGCCAACGGGTTCAATCTGCTCACGCCGCGCATCCTAGCCTAGGGAAGAGCACTACGAAGAGAAGTCCAATGGAATACGAAGAAATCACGACGATAACGACCCGCAACCTCAAAGGGGAAATGATATGCTGGTTTCTGGTTAGGCTTATGCGGGTAATTCAGCGGGAGAATAGATATCCAAAACTGCCGTGGAGCTTCCCCCACGGTTGCGGCCAGGGCTCGTCTCGCCAGCACTGTGGGCTACTCGCACCGCTTGCCGGCCACGCTTGCAACTGTTGATGGCATCGCTACTTCGCTTGAATAGGCGCTGCTTATTCTACTACACTCGGATGAAACTGTTAGTTGAACCTTGCTTCTAGGATGCTTATGCTAACCTTTAGTTACCTGCCATGTCTCCGGCGTAGCTGGGGGCTTAGTCGGCGCTCTGCCAGGCACTGCAGTGACCACGCGGCCGACAGGCTGGCAATGGAAATGCTAAACTGCGTTGAGAGGCGTAGACAAGTTTAAAGTGGGAATTTCCAGTTACGGAAAACATTAAAGATGCATCAAATTTCACTGAATACCTCTTTTTGGCGTTTGGACACAATACAAAATGAGCCCGGTGGTCCGGTAGCTGTCCGGTGCGTGCCGCAGCTAACTCGAGATCCAGGCCCCTTGGCTGTTTGGCTGCCTGGTTGTTGTTTTCCGGATTATTCTCAATTCAATGAAGTAACCAAATACACAAATGCTTTGTTTGTTTGTTGCCTCTTTTACTTTGACGATTGTTTCTCCACACTCTGTTTCGAACAAAGCTCAGGGGACAAGTGACCAGTGACCTCACACTCGATTTTCTTCGTCTGCTGTGTTTGACTCAAAGCG